TGCCTGCCACCACACCTGACTAATTTTTTCTATTTTTAGTAGAGATGGGGTTTCATAATGTTGGTGAGGCTGGTCTAGAACTCCTGACCTCAGGTGATCCGCCCACTTTGGCCTCCCAAACTGCTGGGATTACAGGCGTGAGCCACTGCACCCGGCCTAAATACACTTTTAAAAGCAGTTTTAGGTTTATACACACACACACACACAACTGAGTAAAAAATACAGAGCTCCCATATACCCCCTCAACCCACCATCCCCAGTTTCCCCTATTATTAACATCTTGTATGATTGTGGTGCCTTTGTTGTAATCGATGAGCCAATATTAATGCCTTATTACTAACTGAAGTCCATAGTTTACATTGGGATTCACTCTTTGTGTTGTACATTCTATGGATTTTGACAAATGCATAATGACATGTATCTAACATCACAGTATCATACAAACTAGTTTCACTGCCCTAAAAATCCCGTGTGCTCCATCTATTCACTTTTCCCTCCTTCCCTCAAGCTCCCATCAATCACTGGTATTTCTAAATTCTTTATGATTTCCATAGTTTTATCTTCCCCGGCATGCTATATCAGTGGAATCCTGTGGTATGTAGCCTTTTCAGATTGGTATCTTTCACTTAGTAATATGCCTTTAATGTTCTTTCATGTCTTTTCATGGATTGATAGCTCATTTATTTTTATGTTGCTGCCCTATTATTGCAATCAAGATCTTATCAAATCCTTCCTGACTAAGGATATGTGCTCTTTCCCAGAATGTTTGGGAAGTGGATGCTCCATTAGTGTAGAAATATCTATTGTCCCTTGTATCTCTACATTATCTGTTCAGGCAGCTTCCAGTAATGCCAGGTCCCCTAGGTGCTTTATGGATATTCTGTGAGTAGATCACCAGTGATAAATGAATATACAGAAGTATGAACATGATCAACATAACTTGAGGAAAGAAAATCCCAAATTATGATTCCAACCTGCTCTTCTTTTAGGCAGGTCATCAAGGGATACTGATTGATATACTTTTTCAAATAACTCAAACAGAGTTGTTGGGTTAACATCAGAGTTTGCCTTCAGGTCACTTCTCCACTTCCGGGGAAAAGCAAATCCAGGGGTTGTCTCAGCATGGATCCTGACCCATACCCCACCTTGAGAGAACTAAGAGTCTTAATTATCTTGCTCTGAGTCTCTCTCTCAGGAAAAGAATAATAGCATCCTTTCCCATTTGTCATTAACGTGCTCTCTTCCCATCTCTTACAGTTTCTCCCTTTCCATTTTCACCTGTCTCATCTCAGACTTGTCCTCTTCAGGTGAGATTTTTCTCATTCAGTCATTCTACCATCTACAGACAAGTAGCAGAAACAGCCTTCCTTGAACATCCCCTTTTGTCCATTTTCAAGAAGAAGTACCGTTAGAAAGGCAAGGATTATAGGACTATCCCTACCAGAGGCAGTGGGTCAGCATTTCCAGTCAGCCCTCCGTTAGTCACATGATGTGGAGTCCTCACTCGATCTATCTGTTCCCTTAAGAATATTTATACTTTCTGAAGAATCGGCATAATATTTGCATGGTCATTCTTCCCAGGATGCAGGGCACACAAATGTAATCCCAGATCTGGTACAACTCGATGCAGTAAAATAAGAAAAAAGGTTTTTGAGGTGAGAAAGTCAGAGAGTATCCTTGAACCTTCATCCTCATCCCCATATCCCAGAAACCGTTTCAAAGGTGTTCCTCCTCCACTATCCCTCATATTCAGATAAGGTATTTACTCAGGAGTCAGCTCAGCTCTTCATGTCTCTAGCACATCCTTCCCACATTTTAGTAAGGTGTTTTGATTCCAGTTTGAGGATGGTAGGGGATATAATAAGATACAATGTTAAGCTTCTTATCTCATGTAGGTACATACTAATAGCAGTGGCATGTCACCTTGTAAATAAAATGTATTTGGTAGAAACCAAACTGATCGACAATCTGTTTTTCCAAACCTTTAAGGAGGCCTAAATTTTAATAATCTCCATTCTCAGCTAGTTAGCTCTTCCATGACATCAACCCCATATTAGCTCTTTCAAGCAAAATACAGTTGCCCCTTGAACAACGTGGGTTTGAACTCCACTGGTCCACTTATACATGGATTTTCTTCCACCTCTGCCACCCCTGAGATGGCAAGACCAACCCTTGTCCTGTCTTCTCCTCCTCAGCCTACTCAACATGAAGAAGACAGGATGGAGAGCTTCATAATGATCCACTTCCACTTAATGAATAGTAAATGTGTTTTCTCTTCTTCATGATTTTCTCTTTTTTTTTTTTTTTTTTTTTTTTTTTTTTTTGAGACGGAGTCTCGCTCTGCCGCCCAGACTGGAGTGCAGTGGCCGGCTCTCAGCTCACTGCAAGCTTCGCCTCCCGGGTTTACGCCATTCTCCTGCCTCAGCCTCCTGAGTAGCTGGGACTACAGGCGCCACCACCTCGCCTGGCTAGTTTTTTTTTTTTGTATTTTTTTTTAGTAGAGACAGGGTTTCACCGTGCTAGCCAGGATGGTCTCGATCTCCTGACCTTGTGATCCGCCCGTCTCGGCCTCCCAAAGTGCTGGGATTACAGGCTTGAGCCACCGCGCCCGGCCTCTTCATGATTTTCTTAATAACCTTTTCTTTTTTCTAGTTCACTTTATTTTAAGAATACAGTGTATAGGCCGGGTGCAGTGGCTCACGCCTGTAATCCCAGCACTTTGGGAGGCCAAGGCTGGAGGATCACCAGGTCAGGAGATTGAGACCATCCTGGCTAACACGGTGAAATCCTGTCTGTACTAAATTAGCCGGACGTTGTCGCGGGCGCCTGTAATCCCAACTACTCGGAAGTCCGAGGCAGGAGAATGGAGTGAACTTGGGAAGCGGAGCTTGCAGTGAGCCAAGATCCCACCACTGCACTCCAGCCTGGGTGACAGAGCGAGACACTGTCTCAAAAAAAAAAAAAGAATACAATGTATAATACATATAGCAAATGAAATATGTGTTAATTGACTGTTGGTGTTATTGGTAAGGCTTCCGGTCAACAGGAGGCTATTAGTAGTAAACTTTTGGATGAGTCTATAATGATATGTGGACTTTTCACTGCACAGGGACTTGGTGCTCCCAACCCTTGTATTGTTCAAGGGTCAACCGCATATGTATTTGTCGTTTTCTTACCACAGGAATATTGGAAGATAAATTAGTGAGCTATATGTGATACTTAATACTTCCTAAAACATAGACTTCCTCAAGTTCAAAAAATAGGAGCATTTTCTCAATTGTATTCTGCTACTTGACCCATTTTATGTTAGACACAACAAAATTTGTGGAGTCCTTCTATGAATCACTCAAAATACAAATTGTTTCAATATTTTTCAATATACTGAAAAAAAGGGGAAAGAATAGTATCTTCTAGCTTAATTTTTAAGAGGTCTCCAATCTCTTGGCTTCCCTGGGCATCACTATATTCAAGAAAATAGAATTTTCTTGGGCCACACATAAAATACACTAACACTAATGATAGCTGATGAGCTGGAAAAAAAAGATCCATGTATAATTTTCATGATATCCACCAACACAGATAAGCAAAAAAGTTATTGCATTCAAAGAGTTGCACATGGCTATAATTGGAATCAATATTTGGATAAGTAGGCTGGGTCTGGAGGTTCATGCCTATAATCCCAACATGTTGGGAGGCTGAGGTGAGTGAATCACTTGAGGTCAGGAGTTCGAGACCAGCCTAGCCAACATGGTGAAACCCCATCTCTACTAAAAATACAAAAATTAACCAGGTATGGTGGCAGGTACCTGTAATCCCAGCTACCTGGGAGGCTGAGGTAGGAGAATCGCTTGAACCCTGGAGGCAGAGTTGCAGCATAGGTTGCAGTGGCTGAGATCACACCACTACACTCTAGCCCGGGTGAAAGAGCAAGACTCCATCTCAAAAAAAAAAAAAAAAAAAAAAAAAAAAAAAAAAAGGATAAGTAGAAGAATTGCAATAAAGTCAGAAGCTGCATGCCACATCGGTGGGAGAATTTCTCCAGAGTATTTACCCATTTACCCAAGATTGGGATTTCTGAGTTATGAGATATTCATATTCCTAATGTTAGTACCATCAAATTGCACTGGCCTCATTCTCACGGAACTAGTACTTGCTTATCATTAAGCTGGAAAACAATATCAAGACTTTCAGGAGTTATTCTCTTACATCTGGAAGAAATTGCAATACCATCGAGAATAAATTAGGGGATAGATTCTTTGACTTATTATTATTTCTTAAATATGTTTGAGAATTCGTCTAAAAGTCACCTTTAATTGAATATTCTGAGAGACCGAAAGTAGATCTACTACCCGAAGGGGAGAGAGAACACCGAAACTCCTGAATTTCCCTCTGGACTAAATATGTAAATAGAAGTACTTGGGAAAAAAATGAGAAAATGCCATGCACTTTCAAGATAGCATACATATAACTTTATTTTCAATTAGATTGATGTTAAGTACCACCTGTATGGGAAACATAGATTTCTGTCCCTCCAAAAGTCACTTACAATAGAACACTCCACATAAAATAGAAAAAAAAAAGTATGTCGAATCTTAATGAAAATAAAAATTCTTTAAAACTTTATAAAGCATAAATTATACATACCATTTCTTGAATAAAGAAATATTTTGTTTCCTCATGTATAGTTTATTGGGTCTAGTTTGCATATTTAGTCATAAATAATGTCTTTTTTTCACTACACCAATATTCTTTCATTGAAAAACATTTATGAGATGTCTTTTACATAATCTTTACTGTTCTAGGTGCAGGGAACACAAAGGTGACAAACATAGTTCCTATTTCTTTATTTCATATATACACACACACACACACATATATGCAGATAAAGACAAATAGAAATATTTATGAAGAGATATATATCTTTAATGGCTTTTATTGAACTCTCGAAACTATGGCAAAGTTTGAATAACAATGAATTAGTCATGATAAATCTGAAGGTATCATGAAGAGAAAAGCAAATTATTTTATTCTAAATGACCATTAACACTCCTCTATCCTATTTTTATTTCCCAGATGATTCTGAGGTGGAGGAGTCCACTGGGTCATTTCAGGTATCTTCAGCAAAAAGAAAATGCATATCCAGTAGAAATTGGTGAATAGATACTCAATAATCTCTATGATCGTGATCAGACTGGCCCCACAAAATAGACCCAACTGACCACCAAGATCTGCTGTAATAAAACCAGTAAAGATTCAATGTCACTATTTTTCTTAAAAAACAAATATTATCAGAAGTTAAATTAGTTGAAGCAAAATATCATCATAACTGAGATGAAGATTGGTTAATTGTATTTTAGCATTTGATATGAATAAGTTAATAGCAATTGGTAATATCAAAGCAATATTCCTACAAATCATCATAAAAAGCAGAGAAGAAAAGCAAACATAAAATCTGATTCCAAACATATAACTCTAAGACTTTGGAGGATATAAAATCTAGGTAAATTCATTAGAGAGAGATTCTAGATAATTACAAACTCATTTCTAGGTGTTAAATGAAGAGCAGAAAAGTGTCATCCAGATGGCACTACTGGATGATGATGTTTTCCAGAAAATTAATTTCTAAGCAAGTTGTGACATCAAGTGTCAAAACTGTATTTCTTTTTATCATTCATAATATTGGTTTTAACCAAAATATATTAACACAACATTGCCTTTTTTGATATTTTTAAATTGATACTTATATTTACTGTTTGTGCTTTTTTATTGTGATAAAATATATAAAACATAAAAACTACCATACTAGCCGGGCGAGGTGGCGGGCGCCTGTAGTCCCAGCTACTCGGGAGGCTGAGGCAGGAGAATGGCGTGAACCCGGGAGGCGGAGCTTGCAGTGAGCTGAGATCCAGTCACTGCACTCCAGCCTGGGCGGCAGAGCAAGACTCCGTCTCAAAAAACAAACAAACAAACAAAAAAAAAAAACAAAAAAACTACCATACTAACCACAGTATACAGTACTGTGGCATTAAGTACGTTCACATTGTTATGCAGCCATTCCATTATCTTTATCTATTTCCAGGATGTTTTCATCTTCCCTAACTGAAACTGTATGCATTAAACTTGAACTCCTCATTCTTCCTCTTCTCGGCCCATGGCAACAACTCTTTTACTTTTCTGTCTCTGAATCTGACTACTCCAGCACCGCTTTCATAAAGGGATTACCATTCTGTTTTTGTAAAGTGCAATAATGAAGTATAGGCTTCTCCAAGAGCTTTGGCGAATTGACATATTTCCTCCATATTCAGGGTCTCAGCTGCAATGTCTGACTGCTGTCACTTTTGCCTGAGTCTAAGGCCTTCTTCTGTCTCTCACACGGCTTCCTCTAAGATGCGGTGAGATCTAGAAAATCAGCCACTATGTTTATTAGGGACTGTGTGGAGAAGGCAAGTGAGCAGGCAGTGGTTGTAAACGAAATGACTAATTTTGTTTTCTCAGGTTCCTCTTTTTAAGCCACTCTGGGATAGAGCCTTGTGTGGAGGTATGCGGTGGCTGACATTTACCCAGGTGTAGGATAGATGAAACATTCTACAAGAGTCACTTGATGAGGGATCTAATGGTAAAGTTTGATGTGAGTGTGAGTGGAGATGAAACACCACCAGCCTTTTCTTTATAAAAGTCCATGTGAGGTTGTACAGTGTTTTCTAGGGAGTGGAAATATGACAGATTTAAATAGCAGCTAAATGACAAGTTTAATTGAGTTCCTGTCCTCCATTGATAAGCTAAACCTTAAATATGAAAGAAAAAACTGACAAAAATTTTTTAAAATAAGGAGCAAATAGGCCAGGCGCGGTGGCTCATGCCTGTAATCCCAGCACTTTGGGAAGCCGAGGCGGGTGGACCACGAGGTGGGCAGATCACGAGGTCAGGAGATCGAGACCATCCTGGCTAACATGGTGACACCCGTCTCCACTAAAAATACAAAAAACTAGCTGGTCGTGGTGGCGGGCGCCTGTAGCCCCAGCTACTCGGGAGGCTGAGGCAGGAGAATGGCGTGAACCCGGGAGGCGGAGCTTGCAGTGAGTCGAGATCTCGCCACTACACTCCAGCCTGGGCGACACAGCGAGACTCTGTATCAATAAATAATAATAATAATAATAATGATAAGGAGCAATTAAGTAACACTTACCAAGTAACTCAGGCACACTCACTGCCTTTTGCTGCTGGGTTATCTTATAGTTTAGGTCACTATAGTTAATTTCAATTTTTACAAGGTTCTCTCTAGGAATAAAAAAAAGACTTAATATAGCTTAAGATTGTCAGCATTACTTTTAATTCCCATCTAATAAAAGTAATATTCATTTTTGTTTTATGCGCTATTTAATGTTAAACTGGGCACAGGATTGTTTTTAATATTAGGCACCATTAGCAGGATGTAGAAGGCATTTTATCATGTTGGTTTTTAAGAAAAAATAATTTTCCCCAATAATTTTTCTGTACCTTATTCCTGAGAAACTAGAAAAAGGCATTAAATGTAAATATCTACTGAATAAAGTATTTACAAACATTTAAATGTGTGTTTGATTTTCATTCAAATCTTGGTTCTGTCTTTTGTTACTTACACGACCTTCAAGAAATCATGTTGTATTTTTTGAGTCATGGTTTCCTCATGAGTAGTCAGGATTTTAGAGTTGTGCTCACAGAGTGGTAGTGAGGTGAAATTAAATTATGTATGTGCAAAATTGACACAGAGCCTGACGTATATTGGGTGTTCGATGAATACTAATTATTAACTATATGTCATTAGTATACTTAGGCAAAGACTCTGTTTTCTTAATGTCTGTTTCAAATCTTTATACGTGACCAGAGTGGCTAAACATCTTTTAAAATGATATTAATAGCTCGTTACATGGTCTTGGAAGCCCTCACTTTCTCTATCTCCAGCCCAGACCCCTACCTTGAACTTCAATAATATATTAAGTTCATTCTTATATTTCTACTTGGATGTCCAACAGATGTTCCAACTTTAGCATGTTCCAAGTCAAATCCTTCACATTTCCCTTATTTATAGTGTAAATTTTCACACTCCATAGCCAGTTCATCAGGAAATCCCATTTTTTTGTGTTACCTTCAAAATATATCTGGACTCCTATGACCTCTCACCCCATTCAAAGCTATCACCTTTGCCCAAGCCTTCATGACCTCTCACCTGGATTTTTGCAATAGCTTGCTAACTGGTCTTTCTGTTTCCAACTTTAATGCACCCCCACTTCAACAAGTATTGTCAGGAAGGACTTTCATGACAATAATCCACAGACCTGAGAACAACCCTCCCTGACCCTGGCTTCCCCAGACTGCTTTTCTGCTGCCACTGCCTCACAGTGCTTTATACCATCCGACAAGACTACATACAGTGATCACCCATTTCCATCCCAGTGGACAGAAGTGCAGCAAGGCAGGATTTTTGTTTGTTGTACACTGAGGTATCCCTAATGCTTAGACTACTCCTGAATCTTAACAAATAATAGGTTGTTCCTTAGCTATATGTAAAATGGACAAATAAGGGAGCAAATTAAAGATGAAAACCAATAAATGAATGGATCAATATTACCCTCTCAGTGTTATAAGCTGAATCTGAAACCAAGCACCTTCTGATTTTAAAATGTCAATAATAATAATAGTATCCATTAAGAATGGATACTATCAGCAGGGTTTCCTAAATTATGTGGTGATCTTTAACACACCTAAGGAACATGGCTGTAAATCACTCTCCTTCATGTTTACAATTTTTGAAATCAATAATTACAAATATACTTAATTCAAAATATATCATTAATATGTTTACTTAATTTCCACTGGTTTAACCCTGAGTAACAGGAGAATGTACTATGTTTAAGTAGATAATCAGGGACTGAAGTAATATTTACAAATGATAAACCAGTTCCCAAAGTAATGGAAATAATAAAGTTGTCTAGGAAGTCCAGAAATTTTAGTAATATTCCAATCTCTTTGGCCTCCATTGTGCTCCTAATTTGCATGTGCACTGATAATATTGTTTAATTTCCCAAGCACAACATTCATAATCATTTCCAAGCATTATCCACCTGCGATTTTGAGAGAAGATAAATTATTCCCCTGCAAAAATATTGTGATATTTGCTCAACTTCTCTCAGGCAGTTGTTTAGTCCAATCGTTTGTGTCTCACTGAATCTGTGCCTCATGGCAATAGTGAAGTTGTTCAAGATTTAACAGGATTTAACTCCAAAAATATTTGTTTGTGTCAGGAGAGGCACAGTTATAAAATAAAAACTAAATTTTTTATTCTATCACAAGATAGTTTTTAAAGAGCTTCCAGATGCTTGAACAGGAGTGCTACATTAGAGGAATTAATTAATTTGGCATAAAGGAAATAATTTTATACAATTTTTATTTCAAAATTTGTTAAGTTCAAACAGAACAATTTTAAAAATTCACTTGTTTTACTGATGAGGTTGGCCTAACTTCAGACACAATTTACCCTTATCTTCAACGGTAAACTCCACACTGCCTGCTACGGTGAAGCTAAGCCTCTCAACATTTTGAGGTCCAGCAGCAGCCTCGTGAGGCCCTGGATTGACCATGAAGTAGCATTTATTTCTGTCCCAGGAAGACACACATGCAGCTTCATGAGTAAGTTAGGGGTTGCTTCTTTTAAAATGACTGCTGCTAATATTTCACATTTGCCGTCCTGACAAACTGCATTTCTGTTTTCTGATTTACCACTCTCTGATTTCCAGTACCTTTGCACAAACCAGTTATTTAATTATATGTGTGACTTCTAACTGTCTCTATGTAGGAGCTGAACAATCCCTGAATCCAGCCACCTTTGTTCAGCTGCTCACCTTAGTCTTCCTGGTAATGGCCTCCACTATTTAAAACCATGTAAGGTCCCTACATGTACATTATGTGATAAGATTAATTGGAGAACTATTCATAATTATATGGACAGGAAACAGAAAAATACTGGGTAGAAGAGGGCAGTTCCCTAGCAAAGGCCCACCCTCAGGCCTGGATAAAGTGGCTCTAAATGAGAACAGGCATTTCTGTTTTTGCACCCAAAAAGTTGCCTTTTGGCCTACTACACCCCTTATCCTGCCTCCATATGAAACCCAAACCCCAAGCTCCAGAAGATACCAGCAGACCAGCAGATCAACAAACCAGTGATGGCAAAATGATGCGGCAGAGAAAGAGAGAAGAGGAGGCACATCTGAACACCAAGGGGAATTCAGCCAGGAGTGTAGAGAGAAGAGTCTAGCCATAGGCTGCCTGCTTCCACGCAAAGATCGCAATCCCACTCCATCCCTCCTTCTGGCTCCTGGTCCATCTCAATGAGAGCCACCTCCACTACACAATAAAATCTTGCACTCATCCTTCGAGCCCGTGTGTAATCCGATTCTTCTGGGACACTGGGCAAGAGCTTGGGATACAGAAGGCTGTCACACTGGCCCTTGCCTTTACGATAAGGCAGAGGGTCCATTGAGTTGATTAAACCTCCAGCCATCTGTAGACAGCAAAGCTGAAAGAGCTTTGCAACCCTAGGGTTGCAGGCACCCACCCCTAGACACTATCATGGGACAGGAGCCCAAAGCGCTCCCCTGGCCTCTGCACCTGCCCCTCTGCATGCTCTCCATAGGAGTTTGAGCTGAGAGGACACCGAACAGGCAAGCCACACCCCTTCTGCACATTCTGCAAGGGGAAATCAGAGAACTCTCCTGTTTCAAGAACAATCTGAGTTTTTTGGGGGGAAAAAAGAAAAACACAGCATTCCCTAAGATCCTCTTGTTTCATACATGGCTTTCTTTTCTGATTCACCAGTATGTCTCCAAAATCATGCCTACTTTCTCTGCATATTAAATAATTATGAAACTCAGGAGATTTCCATCAACCAAAAGACACACGAAATGTTCTTCTAAGTCATATTTAAATATATCAGGAACAATATTAAAAGCAAATCAGTTTCCCACATTAAAACAAAATATATAAATAGATGTCTGTGCTGGAGTTGGAAGTGTAAACAAACATAATTGTACATTTTACAGCTGTTTATCATTTTATCTGCTGTTTGGAATCACTCCATTAGCCCTGTTTTGATGAAAACCCTTTTTCTTTCTGATCTGTAAAGACCACTTTATTATCTTGGTGTTTACATGGGAATCTTTTTTTTTATTTTATTAAAGTAAGTACAAGGCTAACATTGGAATCAAAGCATGCTTTCCAAATTATGTACACATCTATGAAAATGTACCTTAAGTTAGTTAACATATTTTTATTTTAATAGATATAACTACAAACACCAGTATACTATATATATTGCTGCTTCATGTCCTAGTCCTAAAACTACAAAGAAGAAACACAGAGAAATGCTAAAGTTGCTTCCCTGTTAAAAAACAAAGAGTTATTTATGAAGTTTGATTTGTAATTTTTAAGAGGCAGTATGGTATAGCAGAAAGAGGACTAATTTAATTCTCAGTTAATCAGGGAACATGGAATCATGTATCTGGGTTGCAAAGACATGGGGACCAGCATCAAAGTTCTTGGGCATAACTTCTTTCTGGGCCCCTGACTACCTTCACAGAACCATTTCTTAAAATACGATGTCCTTCAGTTTCCTCTTCTGTAAAAATAGAATATTAATTTCTGTTTCATCTACCTTGTACAGTTATTAGAAGACTCAAAGTGTATAACGTACAGGTAGGAAATTTTCACATTTTAAGGCATCCGTTGTTATCAGTCAACATTATTATTTTCCCCAGTTTGGACAATAAAGGTTTGATCATGAGCAGATTACTCACACAAGCATCATTTTCCTCTTCACACAATTAAAGTAAGGAGTTGAACGATACGATCTTATCTACTTTTAAAATTCTATGGTTTCATTGTTAGTTCAGTGAAAAAAGCTATTGCCTCCCTTGATTGATCAGAATTTCATTTCCTAAGTCTTTGAGGGTTTTCAATAAAGAAAAAAAAATCTATGTTAATTATCAGTAGTTTAAAAAGCTAGTAAGATTACCTGATGTATTTCCGGCTTTGATTCAACTTCTTGGAAAGATATTTCAAAGCTTTTTGACTTGGAAAAGAGGAATAAGAAATAGTGGCAGGGTATTCTGTTTCTTCACAAGAAACAGGGCAGCTAGAGTTATGTGTTCCCACTGTACATAACTCCTTAAGTTCAATGTGGTCTGAAATGAAAATCAGGACAGGGAATTCAGAGAAGAGAAATATTTCATCATGGGTAGGATAGTTTTATAAAGTTTATCATTTCACTTTCAATGTTACAAAAAAGTGGTTACCAACAACAAATGGTGTTTATATGTTACTCTGAATGTAGCAGAGGAGACACAATATAAGGCCTGGAAGTTTTTATCTTTGAATTCATTGAGTCACTGGATTGGGATCTTTACTGGATTTAAGAAATTATTTTCAGGAAGTATCTGGGTCTATTTCTGTAAAATATCAGATATTTGGACAGAAGAAAGATGGAAAGTGTGTGACCCCATGTCACTTTGAGAGGGACAGTCAAACAACCCTGCAAACCAATGTCTCAGGTTTACACTAAACATCTTCAGATTTCTCTCAACATACAGTGGTATGAAATGTGCTCCTGGGTATTTGCAGTCTCTTATTTCTGTTGGCCCGGTCACTTCCAAATCAACCCCCGAGGTTCTCCATTCAGTGTTCTCTCTTGGCTCCTTCAGAGCAACCAGGCTATCCATGCAAACGCATACTGGAAAAAAGTCCCTGCAGCAGGTAGTGTTTGTCTCCAGCTTCCCTTTGGACCACCTCCCAGTGCCCATTCTCACTGCTCCTCATCCAAGCTAGATACTCAGGTTCTTGTTTTTCCTTTGGTTTTGATACTGAAACCCTTTGTTCTCATGAACCAGTTGTTTACCAAGACCTCCCCGTAACTGACAAACTTTAGGTTTGTTTTTCAGACTCTAACTTTGACTTCTCTGGGAGATAACTTTTGCATGCATCTGCTAGTTCTTTAGCATTGCTGGTAAAGACCACCACTCTTCCCCTACACTCACATGCACTCACACAATCCCATACACACATAAGCTCACACACGCATACACACACACACACACACACTTACATACATATACTCTCATGTACATAATACTCTCTCACACACACAAACACACACACTCTTCTGACCCCCTTATCCCACAACAGTCCCTGCTGAACTGCATGCATGGTTTTTTTCTCCAAGCTCTCCCTCCAGCCTCCAACAGGGATAAGGAATCAGAAGAAATCTGGCAACATCATTTCAAGTCTACTGGTTAGTAATATGGCTTTTGCATGTTCAGTCTGTGGTCTACATAAAAAAAGATTCCTTCTACCTATAGCCATACCTTGAAACATTTTACAACCATTGAAAAGAACCTTTTCAATCTATTCCTGCTATCCTGGAGATATTTCCACAATGGGTTAGAAAAGCAAGTTGTGTAGAAGGGTATATACTGGGATTCTGTTTTCATAAAACAACCCATGACTTCAAGTGATATGGAGATGTGTATGTGGAGAAAGTGATGGTAGGATATACTAAAGTGTTAGCAATTGTTCCAGGTTAAGGTAAAAGCAAAAAAAAAAAAAAGAGTGGGCTCTTTAATAACAACTTGCCCCCAATAAATATGGCATGTACAGTTATAATTACATTTATGAAAAAATTTTATATGCCATGTACATACAATGAAATGAATGAATGAAAGATTACTCCCAAACAGTGAGAGGAATTCTCAGTAATAAAATTTCTACTTATTTTTACGTGATTTCCTTTCTATTCTGTAGTATTTTAACTATTCACAATAAACATGTTTTATTTGTGGAACAATAAAAAAACAACTAGGAAATTTTGATTATAAAAAAGAACAAAATTTGAAAATTCAGATGTGTCTTAGTATCAGAGGGTTTTTGTTTGTTTGTGTGTACTGCCTGTGTTTGTTAGCTACTATTTAAGAACACTTACAAAAAGATCTTCTCGTATGTACTATATTCTGCTTAATTTCTGGGCTATCCATAGTTTGACTTAATGTCTTGTATTACTTTGAGCAACTTTAATATAAATCCTGAAAACAAAAGTAAATTAAGCACTTACCAAGTACAGGAGAAACACAGTTGAAGTACTTTTGTAGGTCGCATTCTATCCCATTTCCTTAAAAATAATGAGTGTAACATATAGAGACTTTACATTTTGTAAAATAAGTGATCTAATGACAAAAATACCTTTCTTACCTACATCTGTCCATCCATTCATCCACCCACCCATTCATCTATATGAGCATTTATTCTTTCATAAGCAAAACTATGGAATCAAGTTAGTATTCAGTGAAAATATGTGTTGGGAGGAAGAATAATGCTTTCGTTTCTTTCCATACCTCTTTCCGTCTGTCTACATTATTCTAAAATCTTTAAGTGGGAATAATAATTTTAAAATGTGAGTAGTTTCCAAATTTAAAATTATGTTCACAGTTGTCATCTCATTTGACGCTGTTCACAATCCTGCGATATGAGAATCTTCATTTTACAGATAAAGAAACTAAGCCTCAGAAAGTGGCTTGCTCAAGACCACACAGTTAGGGGAACTTTGGCACATTCTGTATATCTTCCATCCTGCTCCCTCTATCCATTTACACACACACACACACGCACACACACACACATTCCTGATAGACTGCCATTCCAGAGGTAGGATGGGAGGGGGGCAGGTAAGTACCAATATTTGTTAAGCACCTACTCTAGATTGTCAGATTGTCAGATATGTAGTAAAATCACTATGTATCAGAGCTGGGTTTACTCCTAGAGCTGATTCTAAAGCCTTAGTCGCTTAGCCTTAACACAATATTTGTCTATTGCTATAGTCCATGTGGCTCAGCTGTTAGCCACAATGTTTAGTCAGTAATCTTAAAAATAACCAAACGAGATTGTCCACTTACAATGTGTGGACAATTTGTGGAATGTTTAACTAACTATAAGGAAGTGCTCTTTATGAATAAAATAAAATAAGTTTAAAAAATCTACCTCCAACACTGAGTTAGGAAAAAGCCTCATTTTTCTGAATTATTTCTTGCTCTGGCAATAATATTTCTTCCATTATAAAGAACAATTCAGAAAAAAAAAAAAAAAACAAAGATGGTAGATGGAACACAAAAAAGAAAACAAAAAGAAAAACAAACAAACAAAAAGAGCAATGACATTTTGGAAATAACCAATATCTGAAAAGCTATTTTGGAGATTGCTTCCTCAAATTGTTGGTGGAATTACCTCAGTGAATTCATTTAACGTTTAGAATCTTCCATTTATTCATATATCAGTAGACTTAAAGGTATGTGTGAGAATCTAACCAAATAAGATCATATTCCTGAATGCATTTGATATATATCTTAAAGATCATGCAGATATCATTCTTTGTGTTTTATGTAGCACCTTGCCTAGTTTCTGGTCCACATTAGCCAGTAGGCTTTTGTTTAATAATAATAAATTTTAAAATTGTAAACCTTATTCTGCATGAAACAATTCAGACTTCTTTCCAGTAACTTTGCCAGTAAATGAGGAAGGAGAAATCAAAGCCAGAGCCAGCAGTTTTACATAGAACAGCAGTTTTTGGAGGGGCCAGAGATCAATAATCTGGATACTAGAAAGAAGGATGTGATGATTCTGGAAACCTCTGAAAAATAATGAAACCACGTTTGCAAAATTTATATCTCAAACAATGATTACAGTGAAAGAGATTTGACGTAACTGACTCCATCTTGTTTCTAACCTCCAACCTGTCCTTGTTCATTCTTGGGCGTTAGCTGAACTTTGGGAGGAACTTAGTTTTTTATGGTTTAGCTCTGAAACAGACAATAACAGCCCTTTCCCAAAACAAACCCTCTTCCTGCCTGGGGACTAGACTGCCTTTGTAGGGCTAACAAATTAGTCACAAGATTAGAAATTATGTTTAGGAGTCATGCAGCTGGAGGGTGAAAGATTCTAAACCTCCCCAAATTGCTTCTAGTGATAACATTACTATTATAAAAGCTAAGATCAGTGCTTGAGATATGTTGCAGACCCTGCCTCCAATGATCAGCTGGAACCACTCAGATAAAAAATCTGGCCCATCTGGTTTTGTGACCCCTACCCAGGAATTGACTCAGCGCAAAAAGACACCTTCAACTCCATATCATTTCACCTCTGATCTGACCAATCAGAATCCCTGATTCACTGGTTCACTGGTCCCCTTCCCACCAAATTATCCTTAAAACTCTGATCTCAGAATACTCAGGGAGACTGATTTGAGTCATAATAAAACTCCAGCCTCCCGCACGCAGCTCTGCATGAATTAGTTTTTCTGTATTTCAATTCCTTTGTCTTGATAAATCAGTTCTGTCTAGGCAGCAGGCAAAGTGAGCCCGTTGGGCAGTTACAATATTTTGGCAGGTAGATTGTGTTACAATATATCTTTCTAGATATGCTGTGGGAGGGGGATGTAAGAGACCTGAATAAAAATATCTGACATTTATATAGACTGTATTCTGTGCCAGGCACTATTTGAGCCACTTACATACCCCTTTCATTCTTACAGCAACCCTATAAGATGGAATTCTTATCCTCTCCTCCATTTGACAGCAGAGTAGAGAGGTTAGGTCACTTGTTCAAGATCACCTAGGGGAGAAATTGTGGAGCTGGCATGAGCGGCCTAGTTGAGATCTGGCTCTTATTCACCCTGCTCGATTGCTTCCTTGAATGCTTGCCTCTCACCCATGGTTCTGGAAAAGCTGCAAATTGTATGAAAAGGAGGCCCCGGAAGGTAAGTTTACAGTCACAAAGGAAACAACTTTGCAACAGTGAAATCTTCAGGCTTGGTAAGACATATCCATGATCTAATTTTTCTTTCAAAATTAAGAAAAACTTGGTGTGCTGTTTTAGATATTTGAGACCATCAAATTTTAGCCTTTGGGAGTAAGTATTGGGGCCCCACCCTGATAAAACAATTTTCTTTTCCAGAAATCTCTGCTATGATTTTATAATGTAAAACTTGTCAGTCGAAGTTGTACTTGGCAAGTGGATAATTTTCCAGTGTAGAATTTCATAAGAGTGGAAAACAATTTAGTGACATGTTGATTTGCTATGTTTCAAATTAAGTAAATATAAACATAAAATTCAAAGAAATTTAGGACTGAACTTCTGATGACTTTGTCACTAGTTGTCATTTTAGGCTGCAAAGAGAAGGAACAGGCTTAAGAATATAATAATTTTCTGTGAATGGGTTAGCAGCATCTGTAATTACATTTAATAATACTTAATATTCCATTTGTATTTCAATACTCTATTCCTCCCAGACCTTTTGTAACCCTGTAAGAAACACTTAACTGTCTAGTTAAGTAAGGGGGCAGTTAGTCTTTATTTACCAGGAAGAAGAAAAGGCACACATCCACATTGCTTTTTTATGTGCTGGGCTTTGCATTCCTTCAAGCAACCGGAAGTGCTGTAGTTGCTAAAATTCTGCAGCTTGATGTTAGGATTGCATTCTCCCCAAGGGTATTCTTGATGAACTGTCTTAAGATAAGATAAATACTTGGTTCAGGAGATTTATTTACATCAATTTTCCATCAAGAAGCTGATACACATTTTTATTTTACTCTCAGAGCTCTTGGATTTCCAAAACCAAAATTGGTTATATTTGTCTATTTTGCCTACTCTATTGACCTGAAATTCCCTGAAGCTAAGTATAATAGTGATCCTTAAACATATATCCCAAATGTGAATTAACAAAGTCAGACACACTGAGTATTCTAAAAATCAACTCATATAAGGAAAAAAAGATCACTTACGTAAATGTTATATTAGTGTAGTAATCAGCTCACCTACAAAACAGCAACCAAAATCACATTTTAAAAAGATCCTTTAACAAGCAACTATTATGTGCCAGGCAACATGGTGTTGCAGAACTTTCTCCTTAGTTCAGCTAAAACTGAGCTCTTGTCACATGACCAGGAAACATGAGGCTCACAGACACATAGAAGGGTAAGGAAATGGAATTTATTGGGTAAAAAGGAAAAAAAAATGACTCTCAGCTAAGTGAGAGAGAGTCTTGCTGGTAGGTTTCCCACCTCACAGATTGAATCTGTGGTCACCACACAGATACAGGAGAGGCCAGGCTCCTCCCCACTGCAAACAGTGTAAACTTCCCAAGGCTCCACCCCTTCCTCCCAATGTGCAGGTGGGCATTTTTCAGAAAGAATCAGGTGGGAAAGGGCAGACTTCATCTGAGACAAGCAGTCTAGTTTTTCAGCCTTCAGACTGTTTTAGACTTGAAGGTGGAGTTTCACCAGGGGCCGTTGGCTGTCTCTTGTGTCTATCAATGATAAGTGCTTTCTTTGCAGTACTTCACTTAAACTTCCTTACTATGAAAGGAAAATATTACCCCTGTCCCATTTGTGCAGAAAGGAGATGCAAATTCAGGAAGCTAGTTAAAGAAAGTTACTGAGCAAGTAAGTGGCTGGCAAACAGAAACCTACCAGACCAGCCTGACTCCAAGATTCCTGCTTTTCCCACTAATTTTCTCCTTCCCAGATAGTCTCATTGAAGAATCATGGCTCAGCAACTTAGGTACCTTTTTATACTTAATGACCCTTTCCATTTCTAATGAAATGTAAAGTTACTTTGGATTTGATAGGCTTCCCAGCTTTCACTTATATAGTTTCTGTTTCCACTAATCATGTACCTTCAGATAAAGGAAAAGGATCTGAAATGAAATTTTGGAATTTCTAATGGTGTTTTACAGGTATGGGAGAAAGGAATTTCTAGTGAAAAGCATTACTTATGTGTTTGATGCATTCACTGCCCCACCTAATTTCCTCAGACTCGACTTCTCTGCAGTATTTACCTTCACTTGGCGGATGGTTACCCTTGTGTGCATTCCCACAGGTGACAACAAGCCTAACCCATCAAACTGTGGCACCGTCTTTGGTGAATGGATAGCAAAGATGATCCCAGCATCAACGAAACCAAGGCCTGGGTTATCAGTGAATGTCTCCTAAAACAAAAATATGTTTTTGCCCAAATTGCAAATTGACTATATCAGTTCTATACAAGTTTAGGATTTCGTTTTATCATCTCATGATAGCATTTGACTAATCCTAAATATTTTATGTTATATTTCAACCTCTTTTTGTCTAAAGTGTGTGAAAATTAAACATCTAAGACATACTTTAGTGGTTGAATCTGTGAAAGGAAAATATCTTGGGTCCCTTCAAGCTGGGGTCTACTCAGGGCAGTCCTGAAATAATTGAGGCTTGTCTCATTATTTTTCTTGATTGACATCTGGTAACCACAAAGGGATCCCGAGTGAAGGCAACCTGGCCCGCAGCAGCTAGCCTATCGGTGCTTGGTACCAGCTTGGGCACCTTATAGCCCAAACCAATAGGATGATTGCTGAAGTCCAGGAATTCTTTCCTCCAGGGATCCCTGATCATCCATTGTTTTTCATTTGGGGGTCTGAGGTTCATTTGCTGTTCAAAAAAAAAAAAAAAAAAACTCCTTTTGTTGTGGAAGTTTCCACTCGCTTCCATCAAGGAAAGTGAACCTGTCGGCTTCTGCATTGGCAGAGAGCAGTTTTCAGCTTGGTCCCCATCACTAGGTGAGAAAACTGGTTTGGGATTCTTTCCTGCAAATTCTTTTAAAGAACTAAAGTTAGCATTAACAACCAGCTGGTATTAATTTCTGCTTAAACTTAGAGCGCTCAGAAATCATATAATTTGTGTTATCATTGTTAGTTTTGCTTAACTGTTTTGTTGTTTGTTTCTGTCTTGTTGGGTTCGTGTATGTGTTTTAGTTCTTCCTCTCATTGGATTTGATCAACTCAGAATCCTCTAACTCATGAGTATGGAATTTTCCACTCCAAAGAAATAGAGCACCTTGCTCCCCTAAGCCTTTTGGGGCATTCTCAGGTGACTGAGAATCACATGGGGGTGTCTGGGAGGAATGCTCCCTAAAATGTGTAGTGGCTCTAAATAAGTATCCCCCTTAGAAGAATATACTTAGGGTCTAATCTCAGCTGGCAGGTGCATAGTAGGAGCCGACCCCTCCTGCATCTTGAGCCCCTGACACACTGTGCTAGGGAGCTGCAACAAAAGAGGACCAATCTGGTTCAGGGGGTAACAGCCCTGAAAAGCTAGGTCTGTTAGCAGCACATTTTGGGTCCAATGCACGTCCCAACTTGGTTAAATCCAAAGGGGAACTCTAAATTATGGGGAACAAGGCCTCTGAAGTGGAAAGAAAATAGCAATCAAAAGGGAAAAAAAAAAAAAGGAAAGATTTTTGATTTTGACTACTAAAGGGGCTTTATTTACATAACAAAGTCACCTTTTTATCAGCCAGACCAAACTGAAAGGGCAATGGCTGTACTTCTGAAATAGCAGCATTTTGTCCTAGCTGAAATATGGTAATGAGATCTAAAAAGAATTTTTTTAAAGGAGCTCAATGGTTCAAAGTCAACTAAATTAAAGGTTAACATCCAAGATGTGTGTGTGTATGTGTGCATGGGTGCATGTTTGTATTTAAAAGACCTTCAGGTTTTTGGGGTTTTTTGTTTTTCTCTCCTAAGACTTTGTCTATTTTTTTGAGCAAAAGTTTTTTTTTTGTTTCTGTTTTTTTTTCCTTCAGTTGACTGAATTCTGTTTTCATCTGACCTTTTGACTAAAATAGTTATTGCAACAGAGGCTTCTCTTGGGTTTTTAAGGAGGAGTGTAATTTAGACACTCAGAAATGTCTTTGTTAAAAAAAAAAATAAGTGCACTGTAAAAGCATCACATGGTCTAACCTCAAAATAATTCTACCTTTTTTTGGAGACCCAGGATTCAATGTGAGCTCTGCTCAGAGCTTAGAGAGCCAGTTAAAATATAGGTAGTCCCTATCTAAATAAAACTGGTCTCGTTATACAATACTATGGTAGAGTTCTATAAGTTTAGGTTAGATTTGGCTCAAAGAAAATTAAAAGCATCTCCCTCTACCACCAACAGACTTTTTCTCTCTGTACCTTATGATACAAAGTTTGCTATTTTATTGTCAACTGAGTTGTTTCATTTAATAAGCAAATTTAAGGCTATTTAGCTAAAAACTGCCTAGGGTTGCAAAACAGGTTATCAAGAATCTGAAAGTCTAAGATAGGAAAAAAATAATAAAAGGATCTTTATAAATCTATAAAATGTACCTTTATTGGCATACCTAACATGTCTATGTATTTATATGTCATGTACACAGTGTTTCACTACAGAAAATATATAAAAGGGCTCTAATTAATTGGCTTAAAGAAAAATAAAAGTGTTTAAATCAAATATTTTATCAGGAAAAAAGAAAAGAATAGTCGAATTATTTTTCAAGTTTATGTAACTTAAGTAAAATATTTAATAAAAAAAAACCAGCTTTAAAATTACTGGTAAAGTAATATCAGAAATGTCTTAAGAATTGCCAGCATACTTTTTTTGTTTATATTTATTAATCAGGCAATTTCAACTTATCCCTGCCAAACACTATAAAATGTCAAAATTTGGCAGAGAGTTTACAAAACTATAAACCTAGCCCCAAACAGAATGATTGCTGCTTATGCAGTTTTTAATAAATAAGATATTGATATTGGTTTAATGAAAATAGCTGCAGCTTAAATTTTCTAAGATTACCATAACTTCCAATCTTGTAACTTTAGGCAGCCTATTCCACAGGCAGTAAGGAGGCTTGTTGTGGAAAGGACTGCTATTGTCTTTGTTTCAAAGCTAAACAATGAACTAAGTTCCTCCCAAAGTCCAGGAATGAACAAGGACAGCTTGGAGGTTAGAAGCAAGATGCAGTCAGTTAGGTCATATCTTTTTTACTGCCTCAGTTATATTTTTGCAATGGCAGTTTCATAACTTTAAATCATGACTGTTGCAGTTTTCATAAATAATCTAAGTGAACAATTAAAATAAAATAGGTAAGGGATAAATACTTGCAGAAAAGTTATCATAATTTAGAATATAAAGTTATGTTAATTTAATAATAGATATGTCATTATGTGAGTATTTTCCAATAAATATATATTATAGAAAAACAGTCTTGCTAAAAAGAAGTGTGTCCTTTTTAAATAAAGATAAACAAATCTTGTCTAATTTAAAGCTTATCTAAAGGTTATGTATAACACAATTTATAAAGAACAAGGAAATAAAAAGGGATGTAAAGAAAATTATAAAAATAAAGAGATTTTTTTGTGGTAAGACAGCTTAAAGAGAAATAATATGGTAAATTTAGTCCTAAAATAAAATGACTGGTTGTTTAAGAAAGGAGAGGTGTTCAGGACAAGCCAGAAAGTCCAAGCATGTCATTAATAGTCAGTGGAAGTCACAATAAAGATTTAATTTTTAAAAAAACCAAAAACTTTAATATGATCAGTTGTCACATTATTATTGTTTTGGTTTGCTTAAGAAAAACACTGAGATAATTTTTTTTTAAATTAAGGTTATTACATCCATGTATCTTCCTGTATGTGCTTTTATAGTCCTTGTGACATTAAGTTACAGGGCTTTGACTCCAGGGTCTAAAAAGGACACCAAGTCCTACTAAATCTTAAACACTAACAGCAATTAAAGCCTCATCTTCAGGCCCCATAGCAGACTCCAATCAAAATAAAATGCATTCCTGGCCAGCACAGGAACTCACACCTGTAATCCCAGCACCTAGGGAGGCTGAGCAGGTGGTTCACCTGAGGTCAGGAGTTCCAGACCAGCCTGGCCAACATGGTGAAGCCTCATCTCTACTAAAAACACAAAAAATTAGCTGAGCATGGTGGTGCATGCCTGTAGTCCCAGCTACTTGGGAGGCTGAGGCATGAGAATCACTTGAACCCATTCAGCAGAAGCTGCAGTGAGCCAAGATCATGCTACTGCACTCCAGCACTCCAGTTTGGGTGATAGAGTGAAACTCTGTCTCAATAAAAAATAAATAAATAAATAAATAAAATGCATTTTTGAGACATAGGGCCAGAAATTAAAGCCATTCAACTCCTCAAGGCCATGTGCCATTGAGGAAGAAGTGGGCATGTGAGATTGCAATGGGTGACATTAAGAGACAAAATAAGTTCAGTTTCTCTATAAATTAATCATGAACATCAAAGGCACAATGATTCAAGACCAGCATATTGACTCCTGTGTCAGATTAACAAGGTTTTCTTGAAGCATTAACTAACTACTTAATAAAGGTCATAAAGGTTATAAAAGGCTTATGGAAGTTATATTTTATGGTCAAGATTAAATTTTATAGATTGTTTACAAAATTTTGAAAAACAAATTTAATGGCTTCATGCTGTTTTTATTAAGGCTTCTTATTTGGAAAATTAAGTCTCCTCTCTCAAAGAATGAAGCTTTTTTCTTTTTTTAAAAAAAAATTCTTGAGTTATCACTTTGGTTAAATGAATGACTTTACAATGACCTGTAATCCTATTTCATAATATCAAGTGTTTTAAACTTTTGATATTTGATGATCTTTCTAAAATCAAATAATAAATGTCTTTTTCTGACCTAATTAATCCTTTAAGATATTAGTTTCCCTAAAGTCCAAAAATGACATAATTTGGCTTACTTGGTATAAAAATTACACAGGAAGCATTGTCAAATATGAAATTGTGTTTAGTTTTCATTGGGCTGCATATAAATGTTATTGGTATGTGTTCCAGAATTAATGGAAAGGCCTGTAATTCTGATATGACTTAGTGTACATTATCAATAATAATCATAATCGTTATGCTAAAATTATTGTTTACCACCAAGGTAACAAATTTCCTTGTCAATTGTGTCTTTGACTATGTCTGCTCTAGAAAATTTTTTCATCCAAAGACAATTGTTCACATGTTTTGGTCCGTGTTAGAAGGTGTTTTTATAATCAGCTATAAAACTCTAACAGGTGCCCTTAAATGCAGGTTTCTGATAACTTTGGAGGTTGTAACATCAGAAAAGAGGAAAAACTTTCAGTACTCATGGAGAGCTAAAATGTTCATGAGTATTAAGCAGAACAGGAATGAACTGCATGGACTCAAATAATCTTTTTGACTTTTTACTTAAAATGTTTGCTGATCCTTTGTTTTGTTTTTCAGAGTCTTAAAACTTTTATTTTGAGCTACTGACAGCTTTTAACAATTTAGTATACTCCTATGAACAAAATGTGGAGCAGAGTTAATTCTCTCTGCCTGATTTCTCCAGAATTTGGAAACTATTTGTGAGTATTCTTAACTTGTGCTGATACAGTTATTTGCATAAGTGCAATAAGAATCTGTTTTCATTTGTAACAGGACACAATTGGGGAAACTGGTTATTTTACCAAGGCTTTTACTGGAATGGTGTGCTTTCCTTTAAGGACTCAAACTTGGCTTATGAAACCAATAATGTCCTTGGAAAAACTGACCTCATATTTTGTGTACAGAGTCTCTGTAGAGGGTTTCTGACCTGTGGTAAGTAAGGAATGTCACTTTCTGACAGGCCCAGAAGCTCCAGGTTTATCTTGGAACCTCAAGTGGAGAGGAAATTCACCCAACTCATAGATACTTGATGGCAAAAATCCATGGCTGGACTCGGCTTTTAAAAAGTCTTATCTGAGATTCCTTCTATGGAACAAATTTCCACCAAAGGCAATTTAAAAGCCTATATAAAAAATAACTATTCTTGCTGAACTGTATACAAATAATTTGGCAAAATAAAATAAAGTAAACTAGTTCTAACATGATTTGTCTTTAGCAAAAATGTGAAACTTTATGTCCTAATTAATCCTTTAATTAGGATTAGAGAAGAGAGAAAAATTATGTTTCCAAAACTATAGTACACCTGTTGTTAGATTCTAGTCTTGCCCAGTGTTTTTCAGTTTTTATTTTTTTCTACAGTTTGGACCAAATAATTTTTTTTTGGCTACAAGCCTTCAAAATAGTGTTTTCAATTTTTTTCTTTTTTTCCCCCATTTTTCCTAATTTGGAGTCCCTGAAAACTAAGCTGTGCTTTCTTAACGTCCTGCAAACTGAAGCCTGTCAACTTAAACTTTAGAAGAAAGTAACAGCAATCTATTTACATACATAGCCACTTTTCATACCTATCTACTGATGTACAGACTTCAAAGTAATGTGGACTATATGAATTTTTCCAGGATTGTTCTTTTGTTTGTTGTTGTTTTTCTCCCTTCCTCCCCCTATTTTCTCTTCATAGAACATGAGACTTTGCAATCTTCTATAAATAAACTTTTGGGACCTACCCATCTAGTAATAAACCATCCTAACCATGAGAAAATCAGATGAAAACTGAGACCAGAGACTCATGTTCTCCTAAAATGCTTTCTCCTGAAGATTTTTTTTAAATGGAGTGGTGGAATGGGAAAGGAGATTATCTTGGGCCCCTTGAAACTGGGAGCTGCCTCCCATTCTATTCAAAGTTATTCCTTTGCTCACTGAGACAGATGCTTAGTCTGATTGCCTCCTTTGGAAAAGCCAATCAGAAACTCAAAAAAAAAAATGCAACCATTTGTCTCTCACCTACCTATGATCTTGAAGCCTCTTCCCTGCTTCGAGTTGTCCCAACCTTTCTGGATGGAACCAATGTACATCTTAGATATAATTGATATCTCATGTCTTCCTAAAATGTATAAAATCAAGCTGTGCCCTGACTACCTTGGACTACCTCAGGACTTCCTGAGGCTATGTCACTGGTGCCTGTTCTTAGCTTTGGCAAATAAACTTCCTAAAATGATTGAGACTTGTCTCATCATTTTTCTCGATTGACAATCATTGCTCAAGACCTCTATAGGTTTCCATGGATCACATTTCATCTTAGATAGGTGCAGGTAAGTATTTACAATTACTGTTAATGATCTTGTTTCCTCTGGCCTTATCTTCACCTAGTTGCCTTCTAGTTCCTTCCTTCTTGGCTGCTTTCTTTGACTCATTTGCTTAGAAAATCATTTGGCTGGCCCTCTTCATTTTGCAATTAAAATCCCTGCCTTTATGTAAAATTCAAATCAAAAGTGAAGATTTACACTATTTCTTTAACACTAATGTTCTTTTTAATAAATCTTAGGTCAGATGAAGAAATTTAAGACTAAACTTCTGGTGACTTTGTCATTAGTTGTAATTTTAGGCTATAAGGAGAAGGAACAGGCTTAAGAGTATAAAGAATATAGTCTATGAATGAGTCAACTGCATATGTAGTTACATATAATAAGCATACTAAATATTCTATTTGTAATTCAAAAGTCTATTTCTCCTGGCCCTTTTGTAACCCTCTAAGAAACACTTAACTATCTAGTCTGGAGAAATATCTCAATGTTATTTACTTATAGAACATTGCATTGAATTTGTAGATTTTCATTGCATTCTAAAAATATTTGGAAAATTCTAGTTTGTAAAAATTTATAATATAATGTTCGAACTGACCTTATGGCTAATATTTGAATGACTCGAAAGTATTAATCAAATACATTACAACTATAGGTAGGTACATGCATTAAAGTTTTCAATGTTATGTTTGGATATAAAGAAAAATATCTTGAATGGGATACAAAAGGAAGCTATGAAGAGTACATTACTGGAAATTCTTTAAAAGTAGCCAATGGCATGATTCACTTGGATTGGGAGGTGAATGCAGGAACACCAAGTTTGTTTTTCATCTTTGTCATTAATTGTATGATTTTTGGATACTTAATTTATCAGCATTTTAGAATCCTCTTTTATAAAACCATCATAACGAAGTAGAATGCCTTTAAATGTGTAATACTAGGAGTGGTTATGTAAGACAAAAGGTCAGAATTAACTAATCTTGGGTGGGAGCTATACCAGGAAACCTTGAAGAAAACACCACTGCATTTCTTAGGTGTTTGAACATCTGCCTCCCAGAGCTAAACACTTAGAACTTATTAGGTCAATTACAACTTTCCAAAAGCTGGGCTTGGGACAGAATCTATTTACATAATATTCCTTATATAACCAGGATGTTTTCCATCACTTTTCCAGATGTACATCCTATAGTTTGTTAAATGTGTATGTAGAGTTTCTTTCTAAAACATGTTGTCATATTTACAATAACATATTTCTAAAATTATTGTTAAATGCAGAGTTCTCTTAAAATAGCTACATACATTGCAACTTAGAATCTCTGGGTTTCATTATTTTGTGGCATGAACATTCCCTGGAGTCAAAAATTTAAGTCAATAAAAATCTCCAGTTTATGCCTCAAAATTTTGCCGGTTTAATTTCTAAACCAATAGTTATATAAAATCCATAGGAGTCTAGACTAAATTAACAAAAACTGAAATAATATCCAATGTATGGGAGCTATCTGATATGGACCAATAGTCTGATCAAATTTTTGGAACCCCCACCCATTCTTGTTTGTCTTGAACCTGGAGAAAATTCAGTACCTGATTCACACTGAAGAGCAAGCTCAAGCCTCTTCCAGAGACACTCACTTTTCTCTTTGCTTGGATAGTTTCACCATGATTAAAAGTAAAACAATTTCCATATTCAGTGAAGACATGTCCAAAATCCTCCAATATGTAAATGAACCAAAAAAAATCATCAATTTGATATTTTTGTCACCTCTGAAGTTTGCTATAACTTCTTTTTAAAAAAGCACAAATATCTAACAAGACTGCAGAAGTATCAGAGAGAATAGTCTGATTTATATGTGTTTTCAATGATAGTTTTTTTTGGCAATATACATTTGTCAACTTGCATGTGATTATTTAAAGGAGACATTTTTATATAAAATTAAGCATGTATTTAAAACATTTTTATAAATTACTTTTTTTGTATTTTCCTGAAGATATATGGAAATGTGTTTTTACCTGTGGAGCACTACTACAGCATCCTTTCTTGGAGGAGCTCCGCCTTCTGTGACCTGTATGGTCACAGTGTGGCAGTCAATCATATGACCCTGCTCCTTTGACCCTCTTTTTCCAGCCACTACAGAGGTGTGCATGGGACACAAGCTGGGCCAAACTTAAACCTCACCTTCTTGCCTCAGTGATTGGTTCAAGAATTGATATGTGTCCCAAGTAGAGCTAATCAGAGTCTTCGGTGAGGTTATTAAGTGGATACTGGAGTGCTAAACTCTGATAATGAAAGTCTAGGGGCAGTCAGCAGCCATTTTGGTGAGATGGGGAGAACTCATACAGAAAGAAGCCAACCAGAATTATGAGATGGAAACAAAGTCAGAATCTTAAAGATAGTCTTGGAGACCATTGGTTCAGCATTTTTCTGAAGCCAGAACTACTGTTGGAGTTTCCGCTTAATTCAGCCAATTCATTACTTTTAGTCTTCAGTTTTCTAGAACAGAAATGGGTTTCTATAATATTCAACTGAAAAATTTCTCTAACACGAAATTTCTTGGTAGTGAGTTAAACATGTTGGTGAATAAAAACAGCATAAGAGAGCTTACTTTCCAAGTTAAGAGTTTAGGTCAGAAACTCATCTCTGTGAAATGTCTCTCAGGCATTTTTTTCTGCTTATTGTGTGCTAAGGTGGCCTACCAAAAACATAAGAAATTGTATCCAAGAACCAAGAATTTGTGTTTACTTAGACTCCCCTAACAACACAGGCTATGGAATTGCTGATACAGGAAATATGGCATCAAATTGCCTATGTAGTTATTTATTAATAGATTGCAGATATATCTAGTACTTTATCTTAAATGTAGATGAACTTTATAAACAATAACAGGATTTTGTATTTGTTATGTATTTGTTTTCTATTTGTTATGAGTGAGTGTATATTATATAATATATAATAGTTATTATATATAATATATAATAATAATACATAAATTTTTCATAGTTAAACACTGGGATCCTCTTATTTTCTATAGTCTCTAATGCAATACCATAAGCATATAAGCAGAGTGATGGATATTTGGTGATTATAAAAATACTATGTTGGAATAGGTTGTTTGTTGATGAATAGAAAAACTTAAAATATCCTCGTGTTAAATTGTTTTTCTTTTGGAAAGACTATACTACAAGAAAGGCAATCAAGTTTTCTCTTTTCTATCTTTCCTTATCTAACTGCTTGAAAGAGGAAATTTGTCTCATGTGTATTCCATACCCCCAATATCATAAGGCTGAGCTAATGAAATAGAATCTGTAAGGAAATTTGGATTGATTCACCATGGGAGCAAATGCCGTGGGAGCTCAATGTGAAACAGTGTAATAAAGGAACTTATCACTTTGATTATATTTGAAGAATAGAAAATCGTTACCTTTGGGCTACATGGCTTTCCAAAAAAATCACAGTCCAACAAAGTGCTGTTGTCAAGATAAAAACCTTTGTTCCTGATAAATTCTGCAATGCTGAAGTTTTGGTGACTTGCAACAAAATCAGTAGCCTCTGTAGAGCCAGTGGAATTGGCAGTAATTTTTCGAAGATGGAGGACTTCGGATACAATGTGCCATAAGAAAAAAATAACACCAAATTTGGCTACAGCATCTGTTTGGAACCTATTAGCAAGAATGAAGGCCATAGTTAGAATAATGAAAACATATAATTATCTAGAAGAGAGATACCAACATCTGGATTCTATTAGCTTCTTCTTATCTCTTACACTCTCCCTCATTTGCAAGACATTTAAGCGAAATTTGACTCCTAAGAAGTCTTTGACCCATTGTGCAATTAATCTTTTATTTGCACATGTAGTTTCGTTTACCTAGAATATACCCCAGACCTTGATCTGGATTACACCTAATGGATCTTCAAGATTCAATTTAAAGGAAGAGGTGGGAATGTATAGTTGTTAAAAATGCATTTAGAAGCCAGATTTCCTGTGTGTGGCCTTGTCCTGTGTCAGCTTAGCTAAATTATAACTGCATTTCCCAGCATCCCCATCCTTGTATATATATGAATTTCACTGTCGTGCAGGAGCTGTGGTAGCTCACCCACACTGCAATCCATCTGCTGACTCAACTTGCTGGTATTGGGCAGCAGCCGGGACCACAGCTCCTCCAGCTCCTTTGTGATCTCTTCCTTCAGCTTCTTCAAATACTGGGTTAGGTAAGAGTGCAACCTGGTAAAGATGACAACTATCCTGCAGGTCATTCACACCATCAAGATTGGAGGTAGTGAAAAAGAGACCTACATTTTGAGCTTGTATTTGTTTCCCCAACTTCATATCCATTTTCCCTTCCTGCTAGCCCTGCTTACTTCAGCCCCAGAACTAGGAACAGGCGAAAGACCGTACAAAGACTGCTTAACCAGCTCCTGCAACGAAGTGGGGCTTAATCCCTAGAAAAAAGCCCTTTATTCTGTCATTCATGGTGATCCCGTTTCTCCAGCTAGGTTCTAATTGTTACAGTCGTTTAATGCTATGACTTAGCTAATTTTTTTCATTTCCCTGTGACTTAAGTTTCCTCTCTTGTAAAATCTGTATATATTAATATAACCTACCTCAAAGTGTTGTTTTAATGATTACATTAATTGTTTTTCTTAAAACTTTTAGATAGCTGCCTGGAATATAGTGAGTGTTAGGTAAGCACTTATTAAATAAATGATTCATTCTGGCCACCAAAGCAGAAGTAATCTATTTAACTTAACGACTGTATCACTTTCTAATTCTCTTATCTTGTGGGGCAATTTTGTTTTGCATTCCATATAGTTCTTTATTTGCATGCCTTCCATTCCTTTACAAACATGATCAGGACTTTCATATTTTGGATATTATAAATTTTGAAACTGAACAAATGCTCTCTCTTTAAATTGACTGCTAAAAGCATAGAACGGAATGTATATTCCACTCTTGGTAAGTATATGGGGTATGTGGTTCGTATGTTATACCTGAACCTCTTTTGTATCCCAGATTTTGTTTCTATTTTCCTTTATATTATATATCTTATTTAATATATAAATATATATATCTATATGTGTGTATATATGTACATATAAAGAGAGAAGAAAATAAAAATATTTACTCTAAAATATATTTTTGGACATATTTTGAAATGGCCGCTGCAGGGTCAGCTAAAGGAAGTGACCTTGCAAAGCTATCTTTTTTGTGGAAAATTTGCATCTGTAGAAAACGTCCATTAATGCAGCCAGGCCTCCTCTTGCTAGGCATTTGCTAGGTATAGGAGACATTGAGATTCTGACACTTTTAAAAGTCTAAAAAGAAACATTTGCCATCTTGTCTCTCTGAAGAAATCATCATCTGTATAACAAGGTCATGTTTGCTAGGCAAGCCTCTTCCTTTCTCCCTACTGTAACCTGTATAACCTGTCTTGCTGTTAAAACCTGCTTTCAGTAATGTTCTGAGCCCACATCCTTTCTGTAATCTCATGATGATAAATAAGCCTCTGTATCTGGTTGGGATGTTGGGCTTTATTCTGAAGGCTCATGTGTATACACATTAAATATCATTGTAAGCCTTTTCTTCTATTAATCAATCTGCCTCATGTCACTGATTTTTCAGCATATCTTTAGGGGGCCAACACTCATGACCCCCACGATATATACATATAATTTTTCTTTCAAATTCAAGCTATATTAAGTCCTTTCTCAGTCAAGGTAGGGCATACACAAAACACAAAAATGGAGAAACAACCTCAAGCCAACATTACGTACTCTTTAAGTGATGAAAAACTGTTTTCATAGTCAATATCTAATATTGTAGCTTACTAAACTGGCTCTGATCCTTGCAAAGCTAGCCCAGATCCTAAAACTCTGTAAATATCCTCCTCAGACTTCCTGATTCCAAGGCACTATTGATCGTCTGTCATGGTGGTATTCTGTCTAACTGCAATACATCTAATAACCTTGCTTTTCTTGGTCAAAAGTATTTCTTGGATCATTAAGGAATTAAGAGTTTACATCAGCAACAAATTTTGGCAGAAGGATGGTGTAAACCCTGTATTGAGAGACGGACCTCCAAGCTACTACAGGTTTCCAACTCCCAGTGATGGACAGGTTCCCAGCAATCCGCTCCAAAGCCCTACAACTGTGAAATCCTGCACAGTCAGAGCCAGTACTCCCTGATACATGTTCATTGGATTATATTCAAAATCATTATGCAGAGAAGTAAAGGAATTACTATACATATAGGAGGAATGAATACAATTTACAGAAAGGTTAAATAGGAGGGCATCTTAAAATATTTTTAAGCCTTTTTATTATACTAATAATATTTGAGACCATGAGAGTAATTTATGTAGATTAATTAAATTTAATAAATAAAGCCTAACCATATTAAGCCAAGGAAGAAAATTTTTTTGTGAGAAATATTGTTTTGCATAAAACAAAAGTGTTTTCCACTGAGTTTATTTTCAATTGTATTTTATTTTTTGAGACAAGGTCTCAATTTGTTGCCCAGGCTGTAGTGCAGAGGCATGAACATGGTTCATTGTAGCCTCGACCTTCTGGGCTCAAACAATCCTCCCACTTCAGCCCCCCACGTAGTTAGGACTACAGGTGTGCACCACCATGCCCAGCTAATTTTTGTATTTTTTTTTTTTTTTAGAGACAGAGTTTTACCATGTTGTCCAGCCTGGTCTCGAACTCCTGAGCTCAAGCAATCTGCCTACCTTGGCCTCCCAAAGTGCTGGGATTATAGGCATTAGTCACTGCATCTGGCTTATTTTCAATTTTAATTTGAACTTCAAAACTCTTCCAAGCTTTCCTTTCAAAAACCTTGCTTAGCTAGAATTTGCCTTACTCTTTAATTTAACACAACTGGTAAAGAGCCTAGTAGAAGAAAATAACACTAAAAATATATTAATTGGTTTAAACAATTTAACATCTGGTAACCAATTAAATCTGTCCTTCTTAGGTATATCAATGGTTCTAAATGTACTTCCCCAAATTATGTGACCCAAATGATTAATTTTCATCTAAAATCCAAGTTGATGCCTGACTCAGGTCTTATTTGAGTCCTGCCAAAACAGACCCATTTCTTGTACATTTTACAGTTAATTTTATGGAGAAGGAAAATGAGGAACAATGTCTGCCTTTTGTATTCTTCTTTGAGCAAATTTTAACATCTTACCTTTCTCTGATTAACTAATGAAACCTTTGATATGTCTTTATATTTGTATGAGAAGCAATGATTTTACTTTTGGTTAAAAATCCTTGAGCAATTTTTTCTTGCATCAAACAAATTTGAAATAAAAAAAGAATCACAGTGATTATAAACATGAAGACCCAGTACATGAGTTCTCATAAACAATGGATCAAATAGCATCAGTAGTCACTACATCCAATTATTATTTCTGATTTTAGTGGAAGAAAATAAAATTCTGAAGTTTTTACCAAATGAATAGAAATTTTTGATGAATTTTGTGATAAACATATTTTAGTGAAAATTTCAGACACAAAGACATTTGAAAAGCACTAGAACTGATATCAAAGAACCAAGTCACAAATATTATTAAAATTTCTGGAATTTTTTGTGAAATGTGACTTTTTATTAATTTCTGCCAATTGTATTCTTAGGAGTTTGTCTTTCTGTATAACCATTGCTTTGTGTGAAAGAAACTTTTCAAAATTAAGATTAATAAGCATTCTTTAATCAACTACAGGTAAAACTAGACTAATATGGCTGTGCTATGGAACATGAATACATGGATAAAGTTAATTTTGATGAAATCGTTGACAAATATTTATAAAGAAAGGCTAAAAAATGGAAACACAATGCTATTATTCATTTCTGTGTAAAACTAAAGAAAATATCTGAGGGGAGCCCCAATCATTTTAGAGGTTTATTTTGCAAGGTTGAGGATGAGCCTGGGGAAAAGAAACAAAATCACAGAAATATCTGTGATCCATGATTTTTCCAAACAGGGTTTGGGGACACAATATTTAAAGCGGAAAGAGTGGGCAGTAGGGGAGAAAGGTAAGAACAAAAAGGGGAGGGTAGATAATGGAGGCTAGCAGTTGCATTCTTTTGAAGCTTTGATCAATTTCACTGAATTTACATTTTACCTGTGAAAGGAGTGGGTAGTGGAATAGTCAACTACGTATTTGTCTGGTGCTCAGTGAGTCTTCATTTTTATACAGGATAAAATAAACATAGAGTAGAGGAAGAAGTCAAATATGCATTTGCCTCAGGTGAGTAGAGGGATGACTTCTAGTTCTATCTTTGTCTTGTACCTGTGAAGATAAGCTGTTGATTTACATTCTCAGGGTGAAATTCAGTACAATTTCATTTTATGATAAGGATCTTGGGGCCCACAGGATATTTCCTGTGAGAAAATTGTAATAGAGGGCCCCTGAGAAGGTATGTGCCTTCTATCTTTGTGGTTATCTGTTTAGGAACAAAATGGGAAGCGGTTGTGTGTGACGCAGTTCCCAAACTTAACTTTTCCCCTTTGACATAGTGAGTTGGGGGTCCTGAGATTTTATTTTACTTTCACAACTGGAACAGATTTTAAAACCTTTTTTTAAAAAAAAAAAAAAAAATATGTCAGTGTCCAAAAAGTATTAATGCATTACTTTTTCTTATTTTTGTATTTTTTTTAACATTTTTATTGACTTGAATATACATAGGTCATTTTCATTATTTGTTTGATTTCATGACTATTACCAAAAATGATTTTGTCACATAGAGGAGGGAAGTGTTATAAAGTGATCTCTGACATACACTTGGTACAGGCTCCTGGTACCCATTGTGAAAAGTAAATCCTTTCTGATAATCCAAAGTCATTTGGCAAAGTTTCCTCATCTCAGGTGTCCATTTTCTAGTCACAAGGTGGTTTAACAAAAAAAGCATAGAAATTGGGATCTATCAGCAGACTTTTCCAGTTTCTAACTTGGTAAACTCTAAGTAAATTACAGTGTTAAGCTTTACTTTTTTTTCAATAGAATTAGAGACTATGCAACTTAGAACAATGGCCTTCAAACTAGAATGTGCATATGTCTGAGTGTTCTCCTGCACAGAGAATTTTAAGGAAATAAAAGTTCCCATCCTCTTTTTACAGTGGTTCATCTCCCATGTATAAAAAAGTGTTAACCTGTCACCCATCAGAAATCTTAACATAGAATGCATACTGGTGTATAACAACCTCAGGGCTCCTAATACGGGCATACAAATTGTATTTTGCTTCAGGGAAAGACTCCTTTAAGAATTAATCAAAGCTCCTAAAATCTTGTCTTGGCCTGTCATACACATATTTGCAGCCAGGGTGAAGCTCTGCATTAGACACAGGGTATTTGACCCTTGCTTAAGACTAAATTGACAGAGTCTTAAGTAGAATAATGAAAGTTGTTATTTTTAATGTAACTAGACTATTTGTTAAGACTTCCAGATTTGGGGTTATTTGAATATAATCCACAGATAAAAATTTTAAATAATTTCTACTGGTGTATTTTAGTCAATAAAGTAGTTAAAATCTTATGAAAATACATGAAATGTTTATTCCTATTACAGTAAATCCTTATCCTATTTTATCTCATAAATATAATGATATATAATACTTACATATGTGATAATATAATTTGATATAAAATATAATATTTTTCATCTCCTAAAAATAATGAATAAATTATTTAGGGTTATGGCTAAAAATGTAGACATATGCAAGTGCAAATGCAAGTTACATACACGGTTTTTCAAATTTTTTTATATAGCACATTAACTAAAATGTTTGAAGATCATTGCCTCTGAGAACTGAAATTATAGATTTCAGTATTGCTGAGCAATGCTGAGTATAATGTTTAAAGCGGGAATCTGAATTATCTTTCTGTAAAATTGTACTTTGGGAGTTGGAGATATCTTTAATGCCTGTAAACTGATGTTGTTTTAGTTTCTTGTTCCCTAAGGAAGAATAATTTTCTTATAATTAAGAATCTTCCTGTTCTATCATTATAACCTCTGAAATATTAAATCTTTTTTTGTTGGTCTGGATACTTACATCTAACTGAGCTAGGATATATAATCATTTTTTTCAATGTCATCTAACACAAAAGCTATAATCATTGATTTGAGATTTGAGCTATGCAAAATGGATTAGGTTTTCATACCAAAAATTATAAAAGTACTCAGATCATAGGCTATTAAATATTTTTAGACATCTTTTTCTTTTAATTTAACTGTTTTCAGTTACAAATTTCCCTATAAGCACTGTTTTAGCTGCATCCCATTAGTTTGCTATTTTGTGTCTTCATTTTCATTCATCTCAAAGTATTTTCTAATTTTCTTTGTGATTTCTTCTTTAATTTCTTTGTTATTTAGGTGTGTATTCTTTAATATTTACATATTTGTAAATATCCCAAATTTATTTTGAGTATTGACCTCTAATTTTATTATATTGTGATTGATAAACATATTTGAATAATTTAAAATCTTTTCAACTTACTTTACCCTGTACATGGCCTTGTATATGGTCTATTCTAAGAGCATGTGCCATGTGCACATGGAAAGAATGCATATTTTGCTATTGTTGAGTAGATTGTTCTAAGGATGTTTGCAAAGTCTAGTAGGTTTATAAGGATGTTCAAGTCTTCTATGTCTTCTGTTTCATTGTTTATTCTCTGTCAAGTTGTTCTATTGATTACTAAAAGTGGGGTATTGAAAAATCTAACTATATAGGTTAACTTATGTCTCCTGATAGATTGATCATGTATTCAACATAAAATGACAATTTTTTATATCAAGTAACATATATTACTTTAAACTCTATTTTGTCTGAGATAAGGATATCTACTCTAGCTTTCTCATGGTTGACATACCTTTTTCCATTCTTATACTTTTAACCCATTTGCATCTTCAAATCTAAATTGTCTCTCCTGTATACAGCATATAGCTGGATCTTTCTAAAAAAATCCATTCTGATAACCTCTGCCTTTCTATTGGATTGTCTAATCCATTCTAATTTAATTTCATTAGTAATATAGTTAGATTTGCATCTGCCATTTTACTTTTTGTTTTCTCTGTCTTATGCCTTTTTTCCTAAATATACCCTGACTTGTGGCAAAACTATATCAATCTCTGCTTCTATTTCACATGACTTTTCCCTGCTGTATCTCTGTGTGTTCTCTCCTCTCCCTGTAAGAACTTCAGTCATTGGATTTAGAGCTCACCCTAATGTGGTATAACCTCAACTTATCTAATCATATTTGTAATGACCCAATTTTTAAATATGATCATTCTGAGGTTCCAGTAGACTTGAATTTGAGGAGATACTATTGAAATGTTTCTTTTTTAACAGAAAAGTTTGCCTTTTAAGATAAATATTTTTTCACCAGTTATGGTTGGTTTTGTAGGGGATAGAATTGATGGACTTCCTCACTTTGCCATTCTGGAAGTAATATCTGCATTTTCATTCAGTCAAGGATAACAGCAACCAATCTTTGTTTTTGTTAGAACACATGCTACTTAAAATAGTATGAGGCAATAGTATTGAAAATCATTTTTGGGCAGGAAAGGATTAATTTGCTTTGACTTGTTAGGACCTGGACATGTATCTTGAGTTCTTGAAATATTGACAATCATACAAACAAGCTGTAACATCTACTGTATATTGAGCACCAGTTCTAGAAGTCCCCCAGGAATGAAACACAATGGAGTACTTATTACCTTATCTAATGTAACAACAAATATGTGAAGTAGATGATATTATCTTATTTTATAAATATAAAAATTGACACTAAGAAGGCTGAGTGACTTCCCTAATAACTAAGTGGTGGGTCTTAAGAAGCCCTCCTTTCTCAGGCAAAAATCCTATGTGTGATATTTCAGGCTTCACCACAGGCAATTACAAAGCATTGCCTGGAAGCCTAGTGGTGGAAAGTTGCCCTCCTCTCAGCAGATTTGGTGTACAGTCAATAGACTGCAGTTTTCTGGAATAAGTTGCAGTCAAGGACTCAAGACAGTGGCAGTAGAGCATTGAATCAAATGTAACCCTCTTCTAAGCTCAGGGTTCTTTGCAGCTGCACTGATCACAGACCCATGGAGCTGGCCTTGCCTCTACTACATTAAATAGCTCATCATGTGTACATCAGAACATTTTATATCTTTATGTGTTTGCAAAGTAGTTCCCTCTTCCAGTTCTTCTTCATCTCCACTTAGAAAGCTCTAGTCATCTTTTAATACTCAGATTTCCATAACACCCACGATGGAGACTATTAATCTGTTCTCTGGGATTTCAGAACCCATGCACATTGTTTTATTTTATTGCTCAATTACCATATTGCACTGTAATTGTTGATATTTCTCTTTTCTGCCAATTAATTAACTTCTAACATGCAGAGATCAAGACTTTTACATTGGGCTGGGCGCAGTGGCTCACATCTATAAGTTCAGCACTTTGGGAGGCTGAGGCAGGTGGATCACTTCAGCCTAGGAGTTTGAGAATAGTCTGGGCAATGCAGTGAAACCCCCATCTGTTTTACATCTATTTAATGATAGGATTTGGGATGTTACCTAGAATATGATTGTGGAGGGAAGGAAGAAAAGAAGGAAAATAAGTGAAAGAAGAAATTAGTGAATTCTTTGCTCCCTTAAATTTGTGCTTTTAAGTGCAATTTAAGAACTTCAGTGGTTTTACATATGATAATTTCCACATGAGAAAACTCTTTGTCAGTCATCCAAGAAAGATTACACTAGCAAATTTATAGGAACTAATTATCTTTAAAAAACTAATTTTACCTGTTCAAATTACAAAATGTCACAGCTGGGAACTCCATCTTTTCCACATACTGAACCTCAATGGACGTTGTGGTTGGCCATGTGAAGTAGTTGAGCAAGCGACTGTAGATCTGCCATGTCACGAGTGAGACTGAGCCCAGAACCACCACCAACCACAGCACCTTGCGAATTTTGCTCCGGTTCTGAACAATATTGTGTATCCCATGAAAGGAAGTGGAGATGGCAAAGTCATGGTCAAACTTCTTTCGTTCAGTGGGAGATAGCAGTGGTTTCTTTGAAAGGCAAAGCTTTATCTTTTCTAAGAGTCCTTAAGGTTTTGCCCATAAAAAGATTAAACCAAAAAAAAAAGTAATTAGTTAGGAAACCTTAATGCTATCTGTAAAAAAACACAACTCACATAAATTAAAGAGGTGACTCTTTTTTATGTGTAATTCATAGAAACTAAAAATTCATCTTTTGTTGCATGATTTATTCAGGAATCAAGAAGTGTAAGTGTTGACTACGTGGGTTTATTGAGAAGATGCTAATGCTATTCATAGAATGGCTATTATTAATGCAAATGTATTAGTGGTATGGTATTAATAGGTGACTTCCAGCTTTAAAACCAATCCACCTTCAAGAGGTTGGTTACAACAACTCATAAACTTTAAATATTAATTCTTATTTTTTAAATGTTCTTTCTCTTTGAAAGTCCCTTAGAAGTCATGAACAAAATCAGGCTTATTCCTCTAAGAGTCATAAGTATGGCTAAAAGTAATCTGTTCTTAACTAATGTTTGTCCTGTGATGGTATAATTTATGATAAATGTAGCTTTCATTCTTGTATTCTTTAATGTACGACTATTTTAATTTTTGTTGGTTGTTTAGTCAGAATGTTCAGTGTTCAGTTGTAGTGTTAGTTTAGTAATCTATTTTCTACCTCTTCAGGGAATGAATTCATCCTTTCAAATCTATCAGGAATCAATCAATAATATTTATTGATATTCATTGGTGAGAACCAGGGAAGGTAACACTACATTTTTTTGGCAATATATGATATGTTGAAAATTTTCTTTTGGTTAAATTTCTTTCCATTTTTTCATAGGAGAAGAGGCAAAGAATCCCTCTGTTGAGGGAAAGGTGCAATACAGGTAAGAGCATGAGATGGGCTTCGCAGTGGAAGATCAGGCTTCCAGCCCATTCCTCTCCTCTTATAACCTGCACATCTTTGGCCAAGTTTCTTAGTCTTATACCTTTTCTGTAAAATGGCAGCAATGGTATCTGCCTTATGAGTTTGTTGTATTAAATATGATAATACCTGGAGAGAGCTAAGCACATTATCCAGATCATAATAAGTACTCAAGGGTATTAGCTATATTTATTATTCTGCTAATTTAGTGGTGATGTAGTAAATGGCAAAATATTCAGGAATTTTAAAAAAACTTTAAAAGTGTCTTAAAAAATTAGTTCTTAATGGCTTTATATATGTTCATAGTTATGTGAATTAACTTTTATATCCTTTGCCCAAAATAATACTTTTGGAATATAGGTATTCAACTATCCAGCATTAATTTACTTACAAGAAGTTTAAAGCTCCATTTATTATTAAATCATTATTTAATACAACATAAACAACCAATCAATTAGCTAAGCTTTTTATTCAGTTATAGGACATATGCTATAAAAAGGTGTCTATTAACATTTTCTAAGGGAGTTCATTTCGTTCACTTACAAATTATATGATTATTTTACAAATCATATTATGATTATTATTCACTAAGCAGGAGAGCCTGTATTAATATAATTAGCTTTAAGTTGGACTAAAATCTTAGAATAGCACCCTCATTAATGTTGTTTTTAGTATAAAATTAATGAACATGTATCAACTAACTGGCACAATCCCAGAGAAAAATCAGAAACAAGAAAAAAGTTATTGTTACTAATTAGCAAAATATATTTAAATATGCTCTTTTGTGTATTCTTTAGTCTTTGCACATATGCAAACATATGTGAAGAATTTACTCTGATAAAAAAACAACAGTCTCTGGATAATTTGTACCCTTCCTACAATAGGGATCAAAGCTATTAGAAGGGGAAGACTAACCTAGTAACTAGCTACTGACAAGCAAAGTATGACTAGTTGCAAGCATTACCCAAAAACATTTAACTTTCAAGTTTGCCTGTCAAAAATCAGCCCGTTTAATATAGATCTAATCCTTGACAATTGGTTTGGCCTCTCTGGAGAAATACCAGCTATTTTCTAGTGTTTTAATAGAGTTTTATTATTATTATTGTTTTAGGTGAATGTATGACTGTCAGGAAGATTAAAATTGGTTTAATAAATGGTCCACTAGTTTTCAAAGCAGAAGCTTCTTACTTTCCTGACTGAAGTATATACAGTGTAATTATGACAGGTAGACCTTGCATTGAGTGCTGATCAACATAAAAGCATTTTGAGGAACATCAAATACGTTTTGTTACATTTTAAAAATAAAACCTGCAGGCCTACGATAAATAGAAACCAAAAGAAACAAAACAAAACAAATAAACAAAATCAGATTCTAGCATATAGTAATATTTAAAAACTATTTTTGAGTCCCTCTTACAAATAACTTTTTGTTATTTGTAAGTAACTAAAACTATTCATTTTTGTAACATTGGAAATAAAATTTCCCAATAAGAAAAAAACTCCCTCTTTTCTTACTTCCGGCCTCTAGACATGAAAATTATTACTGCTCTAAGGAGTTCACTCTTTACTCACCGTTCTCAGCATACACTTTTGATTTTTCCGTCTGCTCCATTTGTGATTTCAGTTAAGCAAGAGTCCTCAGGGTAACCCAATTTTCATCAATAACAGTATTCATTTTGTGGCCTTTATATAAAATACAGCAGTTGAGGTTGTAAAACATGGAAGCAATTTAAATGTTTGTGTTGCTATGTTTGGCCTCATAAAGCACATAATCTGAACCAAAAATGTTGACAGAACCAGGTATGGGCATTTATGAACTGAAGAGAAGCTAACCCAGAGTAAAAAGCAAAAAGTATCATTAGGAACCCATTTTCTCACAGTTAAAGGGACAATTCCTATCAAATATCTGTAGTTTAACAGTGGCCCCTGACCAGGCTAGTTGAAACTCCAATGACTCACCTGGGAACGTCTTCTTAGTTTTTCTTTTTACCTTTGTCTTTATTCAACTTCAAATCAAAATGCAGCTGGAATAAATTTTTTTGTGGGAGAGGTGTCTTCTCTTGTTGATGTTTCTTTCTTAGTGTCAGAAGCTGTTTCTAACAGAAATAATAGCCAATAAATATGACAAAATAAAACACCAAAAAATATCTGAGGAAGAAATGATTACTGAAAACAACAACTTACTAAAACATAAAGGCCTATTATTTTTTATATGAGCACTTTTGGAAAATTGTTAGAATTTATTATATTGAATAATAAACTGAAAAATGTGCATTATTGTGCATAAATGGCACCATCTCTTGACAGAACTCAGTGATTGCATGTATCTCTACCTAATAGAGCTTGTTAGAGTCACCATTTTATAAGCATGTCACCATTAATCATTAATATGGTTATGTATATTTTGCATATATTTGAAACCTTGTAAACTCAGCACTGTCAGTTCAAACTAGTCTTATATGGAGGCCAACGAATTCCAAGTGAGGTAAGTAAGGAACCTGGCTAGAGGTCCTCAGTCATCACAGTAAAGATTTCAGGAATAGGATCAATTTCATGATATATGAATTTCTCCATTAAAGAACTCTTCTTTGGGGTTAAATTATGTATTAGTCTGTTCTCACACTGCTGATAAAGGCATACTCAAAACTGGGTAATTTAGAGAGAGGTTTAATTGACTCACAGTTTCACATAGCTGGGAAGACTGCACAGTCATGGTGGAAGGTGAAAGAGGAGCAAAGTTACGTCTAACATGGTGGCAGGCAAGAGAGCTTGTGTAGGGGAACCTCCCTTCATAAAACTATCAAATCTCGTGAAACTTTTTCACTATCACGAGAATAGCATGGGAAAGACCTGCCCCCATGATTCAATTAACTTCCACAGGGTCCCTCCCACAGAACATGGGAATTATGGAAGCTACAACTAAAGATGGGATTTGGGTGGGGACACAGCCAAAACATTTTATTCTGCCCCTAGCCCCTGCCAAAAATCATGTCCTCACATTGTTCAAAACAAATCATGCCTTCCCAAAAGTGCCCCGTCTTAACTCATTTCAGCATTAACTCAAAATTTCACAGTCCAAAGACTTACCTGAGACAAGGCAAGTCTCTTCTGTCTATGAGTGGGTAAAATCAAAAGCAAGTTAGTTACTTCCTAGATACAAGGGGGTACACGTATTAGGTAAATACACCCATTTCCAAATGAGAGAAATTAGCAAAAACAAAGGGCTACAAGGCCCATGCAAGTCCAAAATCCAACAGGGCAGTAATTAAACCTTAAAGTTCCAGAATGATCTCTTTTGACTCCATGTCTCACATCCAGGTCATGTTGATGCAAGAGGTGGACTCCCATGGCCTTGGGCAGCTCCACCCCTGTGGTTTTGCAGGGTATGGCCCCCTCTTGGCTGCTTTCACAGGCTGACATTGAGTGTCTGCAGCTTTTCCAGGTGCATGGTACAAGGTGTTAATGGAGCTAACATTCTGGGGTCTAGAGAACAGTGGCCCTCTTCTCACAGCTCCACTAGTGAGTGCCCCCATGGGGACTCTATGTGGGGGCTCCAACTCCACATTTCTCTCCTGCACTGTCCTAGCAGAGGTTCTCCATGGGCCCTGCCCCTGCAACAAACTTCTGCCTGAACATCCAGATGTTTCCATATATCATCTGAAATCTAGGTGAAGGGTCCCAAATCTCAATTCTTGACTTCTGTGCACCTACAGGCTCAGCACCACATGGAAGCTGCCAAGGCTTTGGGCTTGCACCCTCTGAAGCCATGGTCTGAGTTGTACCTTGGCCCCTTTTAGCCATGGCTGGAACAGCTGGGAACAGGGCACCAAGATCCTAGGCTGCACATAGCAGGGGGACCCTGGTCCTGGTCCACAAAACCATTTTTTTCTCCTAGGCCTCTGGGCCTGTGATGGGAGGTGCTGCCATAAAGGTCTCTGACGTGTCCTAAAGACATTTTCCCCACTGTCTTGGTGATTAACAAATAATAATAAGAAAGAAAGCTTCTTCTTAAACTTATTTGCTCAAATTTATTCCTCTCTTCTTTATTTAAAAACAATAAATGTATCTGCTCTTTCTCACACAAATCCAGTAACTCCTCATCTCTCTTTTACTTTAAAATGAGCATTTAAACACTTTTCTCCTTCTCTATTTAGCTTTGAAAGTACTTTATTCTCACTTCTACCTTATTACTGATTTTGGTGAATTTAAATTCCATATTCTCTGTTGAGTTAGGAAATCTCCTGCCATTTTCCCTCATTTCCCTTATTTGAAATCAAACCCAGTGTCCTCTTCAGAGTTATGCCTTGCTTCTCCTTTGTGATCTCAAGTTTCTTAACTTTCTAAGATATTTCATTGAGAACAAATATGGAAGTGCCCACTTTCCTTCCTTCTGTTTCGTCTGCTCACTAAAGTTGTTTTGAATAGCAAATGTGTTTGACAGATGTAGATTTTCATTGAGAGGGACTTGTAAAAAAGTAATAAGAAAAAAAATGTAAAAAGAGAGATTTCAAATTTTCTTCCTCTCTCCCATACCACCCAAATACTTACACACATAAAGGTAGGTAATTAAATGAAAAAACCAAACCAAGTGAAAATCTAGAGAGTTCTGAAAAACTGTTTTCCAATACCTCTGAACAGGTAGCATCAACAACAACAACAACAACAAAAAAAACTACCTATTAGTGTTAATAAATGCAAAGGATGAAATTAAAAAGCATGTATAGAAAAACAATGCAACCAACCTTTTATCTGACCCTGCAATTGAAATTAGAGCCTACACAACATTAAAAACAATATGCAGTGTCTAGAGAAGTATATTCTTTCTGACCCATTACCAGTTTTATAGATACATAAATGTGTGTTAGTCAAATATTTCCTGTTAATTCTATTTTTAAAAAATTCTTATGTGGTTTAATATAAATTTTGATTCTGTTAAACTGGCATGTATCTAAAGGTATAAACAAACTTTGACTACTATTTTTTAATTTAGCTTTAAATTAAAATTTTATAGTTTTTTTCTATTGGGGGTGATACATGACCATTAATAATGCTACAATTAATCTTTTTAGATTTAGACAAGCAAGATACAGCCTACAAGGCCTGTAAACAAAGACAATTTAAGGAATGCTTTTTTAAACATCTGAAATAGATATTTTATTCTTAATCTCAGAAGGAAAAACAAAAGCAATCTCACAGCTTAGAATGTTTTTAGAGTAATAAATGGTTCAGTGGTGTCTTGCTTTGGGTCTATAATAATACAAAAGACAGAACTAATAGGGTCATTTTCTGTTATGACTATGCATAAGTGTTGTTGGTTAGCGTTTTTATTACAATATTTTTATAGAGCTCTAGGTGGAAGAAATTAGCCAAGGTATATATTCAAAGCAAACAAATTCATGCATCTGAAATAATTCCATGTAGTGAAGAGACAGACCACAAAATATCAAATCCAATACTTCTTACCATTCCCCACCCTCATCCATTTAACAAAGGAAGCTCAGAAATAAGGAGAAAGAATGTAAGCTCTACAGAGGAAGGGCTTTTTGCCTGTTTTGTTTGTTTACCTATCCAACTGCAAAGAAATATGCTGCTCATTGAATGAGTAAGTTCATCCCTGGACTGGGTGTGGTAGCTCACACTTGTAATCTGAGCACTTTGGGAGGCCAAAGTGGGCAGATAACATGAGGTCAGGAGTTTGAGACCAGCCTGGCCAACATGGGGAAACCCTGTCTCTACCAAAAATACAAAAATTAGCTGGGCCTTGTGGTGCACACCTGTAATCCCGGCTATTCGGGAGGCTGAGGCACGAGAATCACTTGAACCCAGGAGGCAGAGGTTATAGTGAGCTGGAATCAGACCACTGCACTCCAGTCTAAGTGACAGAGCAAGATTCTGGCTCAAAAAAAAAAAGAAAAAATTCAAAAAAAGAAGTTTGCCCTTTTTTATTACACATTATGATGAAAATTATTGTAATTTTTAAAACATTTTATTTTAAAAAGTGCAAACTTAGCTTGGCGCGGTGGCTCACGTCTGTAATCCCAGCACTTTGGGAGGCTGAGGTGGTTTGATCACAAGGTCAGGAGTTCAAGACCAGCCTGACCAACATGGTGAAACCCCATCTCTACTAAAAATACAAAAATTAGCCGGGCGTGGTGATGCACACCTGTAATCCTAGCTACTTGGGAGGCTGAGGCAGGAGAATTGCTTGAACCCAGGAGGCAGAGGTTGCAGTGAGCCAAGATTGTGCCACTGCATTCCATCCTGGGTGACAGAGCAAAACTCCGTCTCAAAAAAAAAAAAAAAAGTGCAAACTTATGGCAAAGTTACAAAAACTATACAAGGAATACCCACATATACTTTACTTTAATTCAATGATTTGTAATGTTTTCCCACATTTGATGTATCTTCATTATTAAATGTATGAACCTCCTATCTCTTCAGCAGGATATCCTACTGCATAAATACAATACAGTGATCTCACTTAGAAAATTTAACTTTTATACAGCACTTTAATGTGCAACTCATATTCAAATTTTCCAAATTCTTCCTCAAATTAAATTTATGATGTTTAATTTTCCTAATCCAGAACCCAATCAAGAATCATAGCTGACATTTAGTTTACATGTCTACTTAGGCTCCTTTAAGCCAGAAAAGTTCCCTAGACATTAATTAATTTTTTTATTTTTTTGTCTTGTCATTACATTGCTATTTTCAAAGAATCCATCTCAGAGGCTTTGCAAAATGCCTCTCAGATAAGAGTTGTTTTCTTCTTCATGA